ACCATCTCGTGTGTCTCCAGTAGAACCTTTTGGGCAGTAGAGCTGTTCACGCCGATACTGTGGCCACTGGCCACGTGGGGTATTGAGCCTTGAGATGTGGCCAGTGTGATCAAAAACCTAAATGTTCGAGTTAATTAAATTTAAAACCTGATTAATGTCTGTCTTCCCAGACAGCACAATTCCCAGTCACCTTCTGGTATGTGCTTCTTGTCCATTTCGTTATGACCGGAGGACTCTGGGGCTTGGTGAGGTCAAGAAAGACAGGAATTCAGATTAGATGGGAGGATAACTCAGGGGTTTTTAATGTGGACATTGGACTCCCCAAAACCTTGTCAAAAGTAGACTTCGTTTCATTCATTATTGTTGGATTAATTGATTACTGACTGGTGATTGTTTATTGAGCACCTTATGACGGGACACACACTGTGTTAAAACTTGGGGATGTTGTAGAGAATGAAACCAACAAGAATTCGTGCCCCAGTGAGCTTACGGTCTGCAGGCAAGATGGACAGTGAGCAAGCAGATACACGTGCAACTGAGCACGTCCCGGAAGAGGCCGAGTCTTTGCAGGGGGTGATGTCACATTGAAGCACACTCATTTTGTCACATTTTGTTTTAACAGGGACATTTCTGTATATGGTCCCTGAACTCTGCTTCAACCTTTCCAGTGTTTTTCTTGCCACTGCCATTCTCAGTAGAATATTGGGCCCGTCTGAAGCCTTGACACAGTGGCCAAACTTGCAAAAATGGTGAACCCTTGTTTCACCCCCCAAAAATGTCCCTGAGCGAGTTTCAGAAGGGAGAGGAAGGGGAAAGGTGGCAGGGTGGGGGCAGGCTCAGGAGGTGGGGCAGCTCACTGCCATAGCCCCAGGGGGGCCGGGGCAGCTGCAGAAGGGTGCCCCTGCAGGGCAGGATGCTGTTTCAGTCCTCAGCCCAGGCTGCATGGGGGCCGAGGCTGCAGACGGAGTCAGCCTTGCAGCCCTAGCCCAGCTCTGTCTGGACGCTGTCCCTCTGGCTGTGGGCCCCACTGCCGGGCACCCCCAGCTGCGTGCAGTTAGCCGATGGAGCAAGGGGCCCCAGTGCATCTCGCCTGCGCCTACAGCCCAGGGCCCTGGGGTAGCATGGGCAGCTTTGCCTGGGTCCCCTTCCCCTGCCTGGTTGTCTGGCCCCTGGTTGGGGCTCTGGGCTCCCAGCTCTGAGGGAGGATGGGTTCGTGGGGTCTGGGACTGCACTTCTCAACTCTTTGGGACACAATTCCCAGTCACCTTCTGGTATGTGCTTCTTGTCCATTTCGTTATGACCGGAGGACTCTGGGGCTTGGTGAGGTCAAGAAAGACAGGAATTCAGATTAGATGGGAGGATAACTCAGGGGTTTTTAATGTGGACATTGGACTCCCCAAAACCTTGTCAAAAGTAGACTTTGTTTCATTCATTATTGTTGGATTAATTGATTACTGACTGGTGATTGTTTATTGAGCACCTTATGACGGGACACACACTGTGTTAAAACTTGGGGATGTTGTAGAGAATGAAACCAACAAGAATTCGTGCCCCAGTGAGCTTACGGTCTGCAGGCAAGATGGACAGTGAGCAAGCAGATACACGTGCAACTGAGCACGTCCCGGAAGAGGCCGAGTCTTTGCAGGGGGTGATGTCACATTGAAGCACACTCATTTTGTCACATTTTGTTTTAACAGGGACATTTCTGTATATGGTCCCTGAACTCTGCTTCAACCTTTCCAGTGTTTTTCTTGCCACTGCCATTCTCAGTAGAATATTGGGCCCGTCTGAAGCCTTGACACAGTGGCCAAACTTGCAAAAATGGTTAACCCTTGTTTCACCCCCCAAAAATGTCCCTGAGCGAGTTTCAGAAGGGAGAGGAAGGGGAAAGGTGGCAGGGTGGGGGCAGGCTCAGGAGGTGGGGCAGCTCACTGCCATAGCCCCAGGGGGGCCGGGGCAGCTGCAGAAGGGTGCCCCTGCAGGGCAGGATGCTGTTTCAGTCCTCAGCCCAGGCTGCATGGGGGCCGAGGCTGCAGACGGAGTCAGCCTTGCAGCCCTAGCCCAGCTCTGTCTGGACGCTGTCCCTCTGGCTGTGGGCCCCACTGCCGGGCACCCCCAGCTGCGTGCAGTTAGCTGATGGAGCAAGGGGCCCCAGTGCATCTCGCCTGCGCCTACAGCCCAGGGCCCTGGGGTAGCATGGGCAGCTTTGCCTGGGTCCCCTTCCCCTGCCTGGTTGTCTGGCCCCTGGTTGGGGCTCTGGGCTCCCAGCTCTGAGGGAGGATGGGTTCGTGGGGTCTGGGACTGCACTTCTCAACTCTTTGGGGAGCTTTTAAAAGGTACAGACGCCCCTGCCTCCAGACCAGTTAAATTAGATTTTGAGGGTAAAGACCTAGGCTTTTTTTAAAAGGTCCCTGGCCAGGCTGTTGTCCTGCAGTGCCTTGGGGAGGGGGGCTTGGGAGGAGGCCTGGGAACCCCAGCAGTTCCCTCCCCTTGCCCTGGGGAGCCACCTGGCTAGCTGCTGTGGAGGTGCCTATTCTTCAGGGAAAACCGCAGGAGGTCTGTGGGACCGGATAACCCCACCTCCTGCCTTCATGCCCCAGACTGAGGTCCGAGGCCCCCCGGCTGCCCTGGGGTCCGTGGGTGATGCACAGAGTGGGAACACGAGCTTCCCCACAGCCAGAGGTGGCCCCTCGTTTCCAGCTGCCACCATGCCCAGGAGGCCTCAGCCACACACTGGACTTGAACACTGTTGGAAACGCAGCCACCTTGAACTTGGCAAGGAAACTGGAGCCCCTGCAGCCGCGGGCCAGATGGAGATGGGGGTGGGCCTGCGCTGGGGCCTTCCCTAACTGCCAGCTGGCGCCAAAGCAGTAACTGCCCTGAAGGAAAAGAGTACTTGTGTTGGAAAAGCAGGAACTTCCGTCCCTCTGCAGCAGTGAGGGGCCGAGGTCCCCAGAGAGGGAGCTCTGCTCAGCGCCCCTGCTGGAGGTTTACATGTGGGCTGTCCGCTACAGCGCAGGAACGGACGCAACAGCAAACACACTTCCATGTTCAGTCTGAATGCCCAGAGGAGTCACGTTTTTCTGAGATGACACATTTTTCCAGCATCATTCCTGTACTTGAGCATGCAAAGCAAAGAAATGGAATTTTTCTTTCTTTTATAGTTTCAGGAACACATTGCGATTCTTGTGGTAGGTGGGGGCTAGGGGCCAAGAGCTGGTGGGTACCTGGCCCAAATTAGATGCTCAGGCAAGTGTTTGCTGAATGGGCACAGCGGCTACCTTCTCAGCCAGCTTGTGGGGCCTTCTGGAACTCTCTGTGTAGGTGGGGTTGCTAGGAATTTGAGGCAGTTACCAGAGCTGTCCACTTCTGCACGTGGGAGAGCCATGTGGCAGATGAGGGCCAATAGTGAGTTTACGTCCCAGCCCTGGGCCTTCTTGACCACAGGACCTTGGATAAGTCACTTAAACTCGATGAGCCTGGTTTTGTCATTTGTGAGAAGGGGTCCCGGTGGGGATATGGCAGCAGTGGGAGAATGAGAAGCCTTGCAGGCAGGTCCTGCCCTGCCCCTGCCCGTGCGGTGGCAGGTCTTTACTGTTTTACTTACCAGGCTTTCTCTTCAGCTTCTTTGAAAAAGGCTCCCACTGGAGCTTCTCAAAATTCTGCACACCAGGTCCCACCCCAGATCAGTTAAATCAGGAGCTCTGAGGGGGAGACATGCGTCGGGAGTTTTCCACAGTCTCTGGTGCTCCTGGCACACAGCTGGGGAGGACAGCTGGGCCTCTGAAGGGCCGGCGCAGCAGGGACACTGTGCCATGGCATGCGATCCGCAGGGTCACCTGCCCATCCTGGCCATGCAGGACTTCCTTTCATTGGAGGTTTTAGGTGTCATGGTTTTGACCCTTGGGGCAGATTCCAAAAGAGCATTGCACTTATTAATTTGTAGTTTCCTCAGGAAGAAGACTTTGAACACCAGCCTGCCATGAGGCTGGTGCCTGGGATGGAATGGCTTGGCTGGCATGGGGCCCCATGAACCCCAGACTCCCCCGTGAGCAGCACACGCTGCCCTGTGGGACTGATAGGAAGCCAGTTTCTTTCTGGGGATTGGCTGCTAGTGCTGTTCAAAATGAAGGACAGGGACGAGGTTCAAGAGAGCCACTGTTCCTCGCCAGGCACAGAAGTTGGGGTAAATTAAGGAGCTGGCTTGCCTCTGTGCTGTGAGCAGCCCCCCTCCCCACCCTGCCCCACCCACAGGGGCACCAGACTCCTGTATCCTTCCCTCCATGTGTCCAGAGGCCACTGGATTGTTGAGCTCTGTCCTAGGCTCAGTCATGTGGGGGACTTGACAGCTTGTCACAGGGTCTCTGTGTGACAGCCCAGCCAATCAGGGAATGCTCATTTTAAGGGGGATTTTTCAAATTATTCCAATTCTGCTTCCTTACTTCTGCCATTAGCCACTTGGATCAGATCTGAACATAAACAGCAAGAGGTGCCATTTCCAAAGGCTCATGGCTGCTACCTTTGCTAATGTTAGGGAAAGAGGGTGCCAAGACAAACACACAGATGCTACAGGAGACAAGAGTGCCAGGGATGCTTCTTTAAAATACAAAGCAAATGAGCCTGATTTACCCCGAAGAAATCTCCACAAAGTGGTGAATGGTAGAATAGAAGTTTGTTGGTGAGACAAAAGCTCAGTTTATGAAAAATGTCCACATCCAAGTTTTCCTAATGGTCTGTTTTCCCAACCTTTAGTGGGAGGGAAGCTGGGTGCAGGTGGATCAAAGAGATGGAGGAAGGGGATCAGTCTGATTTTGGCTGACCCCCAGGGCGTCGGTGCTGGACTGAGGAGACCACCAATCCCTCCTGTAGTCAAGTCAGCCTGGCCAGCAGGCAGGGCATTGAGGGACCCAGATCTTCTTTACTCAGGTTCAACGCCAGGAGAGCCAGGGGTGCCTGCAACAGCAGTCGGTAAGGAAAGATGCAACTGTTCTTTCCGGCAGGTATCGTGTGAACGTCAGACCCAGATATGTCACTAGGTACAAAACAGTGACACAGTTGGAATGGAGGTGCTGCCCTGGCTTTAGAGGGGGAGACTGCCAAGAAGGTCCCAGAGACCCCGTGAAGACTCCCCGCCCCATGCCTGCTCAGCCTCGAAACAGCATGAAGAAAGCCACAGGTAATTTATCTGTGCTTTGCTGTGCGTGGCCACCATTCATGTCCAGCACTCCTTCTTACAGCGGGATGTACGGTTTCCGTTGTTGAGCTTGCACGGTCTTCGAATGACACCATTATATGCCTACAGTAGACACATGTGGCACGTAAATTTATCTGCAGAAGCAGGAGCAATCAAAAGACAAACAATTTATGCAAGTAAATTGCTTTGTTAGGCCAGCTCCCTGTGAAGCCAGAGCCTGGGACATGAGTGTAGGAGAAGCTGATGGTTTCCGAAGGGTATAGCCTGAAGCACAGAGAAGAGATTTAAATGCAATGATGTGCACTGTTTGTTCTTATTTTCCTTTCCATCTGCAAGCTCCCGTAAACCTAAATTTGAAGGAGCTAAACAAAATTTTTTTATTGGTAAATGGAATCATTCTTATTCTCTTTGGTGTGAGACATTTGCAAAGCTAAACCCCAATTAGGAGAATCCAATGAGGTTATTCTTAAATTTGTTTCTGAATTTGTTTTTTGAAGTGAAATCACTCAACCTCAATGAATAGCTAAGAAAGCAATCATAATTTTCACCTTTGCTTTTAACATTAAGAGAATGACTTTTATGGCTAAAAATGTTTTGTCATTTTATTCTCTATCACTTTCTTTCTTTAAAATTGAGTGAGAATAAATGAAACCTAAATGAAACCTAAATTTTCTTAGGAATTAGATGTTTAAATCATCTTTAAATGACTGTATTTTCCCGTGGAGTGTTACAGAATATTGCAATCTTTCCTATGATTGCATATACTTTTTGTTAAAGAAAAATTCATTCATTTATCCCACAAATATTTATTGAGCTTCTCTATCTGGCAAGTTCAATAGAAGATACTTGGGAAGAGCAAGGAACAAAGAGGTGGTCCCTGACCTCATGGAATGCAGAATTTAGACAAGCAGTCATAATAAATCATGAGGGGAACTATGATGGGGATACAAGAGAGGTGTCATGATAGTTGGTTTCTGTTTTGTTTAGTTTTAGTGTTTAGTTTATAAACGTTTAAACCTACATGAAGTTTACTGAATCTAAGAGCTTTATGGGGACTTTAGGAAGAGCAGTGATCCTCCCCCCTTTCCCTTCCCAGGGGGTAATTAAGCCCTTTAGGGGGTCTCCTGGAATTTACCTCTAGTGCTATTGACTTCTCATTTTGGAAGGTGAGGGTTTGACTCCCTTTGATCCATTTCACTCCCTTTCAGTCTTCCACACACGGCTCCTGTATCTTCATCCTTTCCATACAGTTATACCAGCTTTTCATTTATTCAACACTTATTGTTTATGTTATAGCTATGTAAATAATGTTTACAGCTGAGCCGTGTAGTGTGCTATAAATATGTTGCCTTTCCGAACACAGCTTTTTTATTTCTCTAGCATTATTAATTGTCATATTTTCCTCAGCTTGGCTTTCTGTTTTTAATCCCAATTTCAACCCAAACTCTCCTTTGGTTACTGAATGTCCTCTCATTGCGTTTCGCCACATCGGTTTCATCTTCCTGAAGAAATCCGTCCTAGAGCCTTCTCACCTGCCCCACCTGGACAGGTCATCCTCTTTCGCGGGTTCACAGCTGCCACCCTGCGATCTTAACTTGCCTCTCTCCCAACGCCGTCTCCTGTGCCCCTGCTTGCTCCATCTCGATGTGTTCCCTCATCTTGGTAGAGCACATCTTCCAGTAGTTTCATGAGAAGATGGCATGCGAGGTAAACTTTGATATTTTATAGTCTGAAAATATTTTTACTCTAGTTTCAGAAGTCTAGGTTAGAAATCATCTTCCTTTAGAATTTTGAAAGCATTGTTCCATTTTCTTCTTGCTTCCAGGGTAGCCATGAAAACATCCAAAACCATTCTGAATCCCAGTGTTTTATGTGCCTTGGCTGTTTTGGGTTTTTCTGTTTGTTTTTCCATTTTAGTTGGATTTCAGAAGGGAATGAAAGGAAATGCTTATCCTCAATCCACTATCATTATGAAGAACATACTATTTTTGGAACTAATTTTTTAATTTAAATCTACAGTGAACAACCCTTCATGTCAGTAAATATTGTACAATATCATTTAATGGCTTTAGACAATGTGATTATTACAGACCCCTGCCTTTTGTCACTTGGGTTGTTTGCAGTTTTTCATTATTGTAGATAATATTCAGATAAGCATTCTTTTTCCTGTTAATTTTTGGATCCATCCCTGATCATTTATTAGAATAAGTTTCTAGAAGTGTAATTGCAGGTCGAAGGGATTCTGAGAATTTTGCTACATATTGCCAAAGAATAACTTGGCAATAGTTATTCTTGCAAAAAGTTGTAACAATTCCAACAGTCACCAGTAGGATATGAAAGAAGAATTTCCTTACATCCTGCTCATCCCCCATTCTCCTGCCCTTTGTTTTTCTTTCTGTTGCTCTGAACAGCATTTTATTTGTATGTGATACAACAACTTGTTTTGTTCTTCTGTATCTTGACATAAAATGAATTTTTCGGTATGAAAAATAAAGTGTTCTTTATAGTTCTCTGCTTGAGAGTTTGGCCATCTGAATTCCAGTCTTTATTTTATCACTAAAGTGATTTTAATAAACAATAGTTCTTGCTACAGTTATGCAAAAAAGTTCAGAGGAAGAAAAAACAATGAATGTCAACCTCAAATATCTACAACATTCTAAATTTACTTTCAGTGTTTGTCCATGTACATTACTGCATCTTCTTTCACTGTAATCTATGTTGTGCTTGACTTTTCCCTCTTTACATGTGTCTCGGTATAGGGTGCAGGATCGTCCATGTTAACTCCTTTCTAGTACTCCTTATAGCCTATTGCGTGTTCAAAGGCATGGTTTACTTCTTAATCTCCTATTGCCTCTGGTTTCAATAATTTCTTTTTTGCTTAATTTATCTATCTCTGTATCTATCAGTTTATTTTTGTATCTATCAGTTTATTTCTACTTTATGACTCATCACAATCATCTTTATAATATTTTTTTTCTCCCTTTAGGAGTTTATTTCTCAAAGTAGGATTACAAAAAATTCAGTGTTTGTGTTCATTGACTTAGCGACTCCCATCACCTGCGGCCATGTGTTGTGTTGTTAGGAGACACCATAGAATGAGCTGCTTTGTCTCTTCTGCTTTGAGTTTCCCAAATTGTGGAGTGACACTATGCTTCGTGTCTGAGATTTTTAGCATGGGGATGTTAATGAAAGTAAGAGAACATTTAGGAGTTGCTTGGAGGATGACCTGCTGCTCCTCTGATATCATACCACCTGACAGCTGATGGGCGGATCTTGCTAAAATGGCTTCTTGAGGTTTACCAGAATGTAGGCAACCACTGGGGTGTGGCTGCAGTTCACTAATGTGGTAATGATGTGTTCATATGATGAGCACATACAGAATATTTCCCTTCAGGGTGAAAGAGATCATTGAGTATCTATTATGTGCCATGTACATGTTCTCTTAACCCTAGGAGGGAGTAGTACCTCTGCCTCATAGATGAGGGGATCATAGTTCACAGAAGTTCATTAACTTGTTCAAGGGTGGACAGTGAAGAGCAGAGCCAGAATGCAAGTGGAGATCTGTTTGACTCAAAGCCCACAGTCTTTTCTACTCTGCCACAATAACTGCCTGTAATTAGGGGATCTGTGTGTGAAGGTTTAAGTGTATTCTGGAAGTACCCTGTTTATTGTCTTTGCAGAAACTGGATAAGGGTAGAAAATGTTAAGTCACGTCCAACTCTTTCTTTGTAACAGACAATGAACCATCGGAGCCAAAGAATACTTTGTCGCCAACTCAGGCAGCAGAACCAAGTCAGACAGTAGATCCAAAACAGGGGCCCCAAGAACTTCAGGAAAAGAAAATCCACATACTTGAGGAGAAGGTTCTCCGACTCACAAGGACAGTTCTTGATCTCCAGTCTTCCATTGCTGGAGTGAACGATAACCTCAAACATGCCATTCAGGATGATGCCAGCAAGATGCTGGCATCATGGCTCAGTAACTTGCACCCCCAGCCAGTGCCTGACAGCGCCGTTGGTGGAGACACAGAAATGGTCCAGTTTCCTGGTGTCCTCGAAAAGAAGGAATCTGGCATGAAGGACATCAAATCTGAATTGGCCGAAGTCAAGGATGCTCTGAAGACCAAGAGTGACAAGCTGGAAGAGCTAGACGGGAAAGTGAAGGGGTATGAAGGGCAACTCAGACAGCTGCAGGAGGCTGCCCGGGGGCCTGCGGTGACCATGGCGACCAGGGACCTCTACCAAGCCTATGTTGATAGTAAGATTGATGCCCTGAGAGAGGAGCTCATGGAAGGAATGGATAGAAAGCTGGCCGATCTGAAGAACTCATGTGAGTACAAGCTGATAGGTGTCCAACAGCAGTGTGATGACTATGGGAGCAGCTACCTGGGAGTGATTGAGCTTATAGGAGAGAAGGAAACAAGCCTGAGGAAAGAAATAAATGACCTTCGAGCCCGGGTACAAGATCCTTCAGCCCGGTCAGATTGCTGTGGTAGTGGAAAGAATGGTGACTTCGCACAACAGATCAAGGTGTTAGACCAAAAGGTTGAAAGAGTTGCTGAAGCCGCCAGAATGCTGAATGGGAGGCTGGACAATGAGTTTGACCGCCTCGTGGTTCCGGAACCAGAGGTGGACTTTGATGCCAGGTGGAGTGAACTAGACGCAAGGATCAATGTGACAGAGAAGAATGCGGAAGAGCATTGCTTTTACATTGAAGAAACCCTTCGGAGAACCATTAATGGAGAGGTAGATGACTTGAGGCAACTTCTTGATCAGAAGTTGCAGTCTCTGGAAGAGCGCGTGGGGAGCGTTCTCCTGGAGGTGGCCAATAGCGCCGAGGCAGGCCTCACGCCCCCGGTGTCAGGACCTGGGAACCAGCAGCTCTTGATGGCGTTGAACCACCTGAAGGACAAAGTTCAAGCTGTGGAGGGTATGTGCCTGCAGAACTTCCAGGGAGTGCCTCATGGGATAGAAGATTCTTTGCTAAATGGAGAAGACCACACAGTGGGTGTTAGTGTGAGCCTTCTGAAATCTCTAAATGACACAGTGCATAGGAGGTTCCAAGAAACTCAACATAGCATCCAGAAACTTCAACAGGATTTTAATTTCCTGTATTCTCAGGTAAACAAAACAAAAGTCAGCGTGAATCATCTTCAGAATGAGCTAAGCAATTGTAGAGAAGGTGAAAATGCTGGGGTGGGTGGGTTTTCTAAGGGGGGCGAGCAGGAAAGGTCGGTGAAGCCCCTCCTGTCCTCCAAGGACCCCCCGGCTCATTGCTGTGGCCAGCTGGAGGACAGGTGGCAGAGGCTGCAGATCCGGGTCCTTTCTGAGCTGGACGCTTATAAGGAAAATGTGCACAGGGTCCAGAGGGAAGTCTCCGGGGTTGAGGGCAGGGTGTCTCATATGGAGAAAACGTGCAGCAAACTGGACTACCTCTCAGAAAGTCTTGAGAGGATCAAGGAAGGGCTCAACCAGCATGTCAGCAGCCTGTGGAGTTGTGTCAGGCAGATGAATGGAACACTTTGGTCACATTCCAAAGACATTTCTGGCCTGAAGAATTCAGTCCAGCAGTTCTACAGCCACGTTTTCCAGATTTCTACTGACTTGCAAGATCTGATCAAATTTCAACCATCAGCAAGTAAGTTGACCTTTACAATTCCATTTCTTGAATTTGTTTGCAACATGTATTCTAGATTTTGGAAGGTTTGTGGAACTGACTAAACTACACCAGTGCTACCCAAAGTGTGGTTCATAGACGGGTGCCAGTTGGTGAATCATTTGGTGCTGGGTAGCAGTGAAATAAGTATCAGCATTGAGAATAAGTATTTAGAGACCATTAAGTAATTTGACATCAGCATAGCATTCAAGCACACAGTCTGTGCATTTTCCAAAAGTATCAGTCCGCAACAAATCGAAAATGGAAAAGGAAACCTGGCCCTTCACAACCCTTCACCACAGGCATATGGCAGAATGTTGGTTGGTACTATCATGTTGGCGAGCGTAGAGTTGGGGTTAGATTTTTGCCGTAGCTACATGGGGCCATGGATAACAGTGGTGTTCCACCTTCTAGGGAGTCTCCTTTCTGCTCATCCATCCACCCCTCTAAAACGTTGCTTTTATTTGCTGGTGTCATTATAATCGTCACCATCATCATCTTTGGGCCATCTCCTATTCCCTAAAATCTACAGCCTAGATGATGGCAGATAGAACATTCACATTCCTCTCCAAAGACAGAGACAGGATTATGGACAAAAAGCAGTGGAGGGGCAGTTGTAAGTGTAGAAAGCCTCACAGCGGCTAGAACAAGGAAGCTCATCAGTCATGCTTAGGGCAATGCTTGCTGCCCAGGAGACACTCAGCAAATGTTTGTTGAGCGAATGAATGGACGGTGGCTCCATCACATTAATATAGTCAATGAAGTTAATGTCTTTGGTATTTGGGGATTCAGCACATCATCCCTGAAAGCCAGACCTTCTCTTACACCTTTATTCTTACATTTATGTAGCCTCACTAGTGAGCCAGCCTCTTCTGACTGGAGGCAGGGAGGGGAAGGGAGCTCACATTTATTGAGCACTTTCTGTGTACCAGCTCTGGGCTAGTCCCTTCAGGGACACGTCTGAGGCCACCACAGCCACCTCACAGGGAGGCACACAGACTCCCCAGAGAAGATGTGTCCACAGTCACAGGGCTGGGAAGGGCAGAGCCAGGTTGAGAACCCCAGTGGGATGCACCAAAATTTATTGTCTTCCAAGCCAGCGCACATCTCCTTTGTGTCTCCCAGAGTTGAATGCAGACTTAGGGGTCCTTAGGGACTTGCCGAGGGCCAGATGACCCCACTTGTCCTTGCCATTTTCTCTTCTCCTCTCCTCCCCTTTTGGCCTCTGTCACCCTTCCCACTAGGCTCTTAAATGCTGAGCTGACATTTCATGGTCTGGTGTGATCTTATAGGAGCTTATGTCCAAGGTAGAATATGACAGTCGAGGAGGGGAAGGCTTGGGCAGGAGAGGCAGAGGAGCCCCGGCCAGAGGGTCCGGGCCCCGGAGGCAGCAGGGTCTGAGGCAGTCAGGTGGGAGAAGGCCCTGGGCGTTCCCAGACACAAGGACTTTGTAGATGAGGAGTTGCCCAGGCCAACCAGCACTAGGAAGCCGGGCCACCACCCCACCATCCCACACTATTTATAACCCGCCTCCCCCAACCCATGCTCTCGTATCTCTGGAATGTTGAGTAAAGGTCACAAGACTATGAGTGTGTTTGTAGAGTGACCGTCCCTGTGGTGGCACTGCTGTCTGGACACTGCGTTATAGTAACAGATTAAATCAGATATTTCCGGTTGACTCGTGACTCCCGTGCTGTGTGGGAAGCTGTGCTCACTCTCTCGCACTTGGCTGTTGAAGTAGGAGTTGGAGGTGAATGCCTTTAAAGAGAATGTGGCTTCCGAAAGATGAGCCGTTCAGAATGAATCCATTGTTGTGACTGTAGAATGCATGGACCTCTGAGAATTTCAGTGATTGGAAAGAGCCAGAGATAAACAAGCAGAGCCTTATCTGACCTTATAGCATCCAGGCCTAGCAGACCTGGAACCTGAGTGTCAGAGGTCCGTGGGTGACCTGAAGTTAAGGTCACACTGAAAGTCACACATCGACCAGTTCAACGTCAACAGCATTTATTGAGCGCCCACCTGTGCAAGGCCCCCGAGAGGCACAGAGAAGAGCAGCATGACCCACACCCTCAAGGCATTTTCTGCCACAGCGTAAAGACACACAGGCATGCAGAGCATGAATGAGATCATCTGCAGAGCCCAGTGAGCGACCTCAGGTTTATGCTTTCAGTTCATAGGCTCTTATTGAGCCCCTGTTAGGGGGTAGTTAACAAGTTATGTGTAGAGTATGTGGATGGTAATGTATGTGACAATGACAGTCTGGGGGGCAGGGAACAAGCAGAGAGGGTCAGGGGAATGGGGTGTGCTTAGGAGCACGGGCATGTGGAGCACCCATGGCCACTGTGGAAGACGGGGGTGGGGGAAAGTTCTCAGAGGGGAGAGTCACAGAGCCGAGATTTCAAGGTTGAGTAGGTTGTGAATTTGGAGTTCAGAGCCTGGCAAGGTGAGGAGTGGGGTGGAAAGATAAGAGAACCTTTGGGAAGGAGGTGTTATTGGAACTAATTGAGGGATGGGTAGGGTAGAAGAACAGGAGGGGAGAGCATAGCTGGCGAGGAGTTGGTATGAATGGGTCAGTTATTTACAGCCATGTTACAACCTATCCCAAATCTGGGTGGCTTGACACAACAAGGATGCATTGTTTCCTACTGTTCTGTGGGTCAGGAACCCGGGGCAGGGCATGGCTTGGTGGTCCTTCCACTCTGTGGGATATTGCTTGAGTCACCCACTCAGTTGCAGTCCACTGGCAGTTGGGCAGCTGGCCTGGAACGTCCTGGAAGCCTTCAGCCCATGTCTGGCAGCTCAGGTTCCTCCACCTGGCTGTCCTCCCTCCCTGTCCCTGTGGCTGAATTGGGCTTCCTCCAGCATGATGGTCTTGGGGTCAGACTGCATGGTAACCGGCTCATAAGGGAAAGCAGAAGCTGCTGGGCCTCTTCCAGGGTCTCTTCTGCCACATTCTGTGGGCGATGGAGCTGTGTGTGTCGGGAGGGAAGGAATATTAATGACTAGTCATCCTATCTCCCTGCTGGGCAAAGGTCCAGAGGAGAGGGTGCTTCACGGACGCTTGGACCAGAGATTAGGTTGCCGGACCAAGGATACAAACTCTGGTGTTTCTGTTCAGCCCCCTGCCCTGTTCACAGACCCTGTTCTTCCCTTTGGAAACATGGCCAGTGGGAGAGTGGATGGGGCTTCAGCCGATGCTCAAATAGATCTAAGTCTCTTTTACGCCCTCCCAGTAGTGCAGGGATTCTTCCCTGGGACTTAAAAGGGACTCTTGAAATTATATGCATATTTCTGGGTATTTTTTTGGAGAAAAGATCTGTGGCTTTCAGCTAGGACTCAGAGGGGTGCCTAACTTCCAGAAAGTGAAGAACTGCTGTATTTCCATCACCATCTCTCCTTCATCTCAGTCAAGTGGGCATGCTGTCCTCTCGGGGCCCCCGCCCCCACCATTCATTCATACGCTCACTGTTCCATCTCACACTGACTGAGCTGTGTCCTAGCACTGAAGGGCCAGGTTTCATGTACCTTACACTCTAGTGGGGTGACAGTGCCAGCCAAGCAAATAAAGACCTGATTTCAGCCAGTGGTCAATGTGTGAGGAAAGAATAGAGGAATGTGACAGAACGGGGGACAGCAATGTGTCTTAGATGAGTGGTCAGGGCGGGGAGCTCAGTAGAGACGACAGCTCTGCAGAGACATGACTAAGATGAATGAGCCCTCCAAAGACCTGTGGGAAGTGTTTGGGCCCAGGGAGCAGCCTGCCCCAAGGCCCTGAGGCAGGAGTGGGTTTGCCTCGTTTGAAAACCTCAGAATGCCAGTTTTATCAAATAACGAGCAAGGGGAAAGCCACAGGCCATGAGGGCAAAGAGGGGGTAGGAATCCTGTGGGATTTTATAGGCTCTGAGAGAGGATTCGAATTTTCAGTACAATGTTAAACTCTCAGAGGATTTTGAGCCAGGAAATGCTTTTTATTTCCCATATTTGCAATTCTAGCTATTCCCTGCTTTTTCTATAACTTCGGGCACATTACTTACCTATCTGTTGCCTCACTTTCTGCATCTATTCATTGGAAATAATAAATAATAATAATAATAATAATAATAATAATAATAATAATAATAATGACACTTCATCTAAAAAAATCAGTCTGAGGATCAATATCATAAGTAGTAGAGTTTGAAACCGTGCCTGGCACTTGGTAAATCACTCAGTAAATATTGCCTACTATTTTAATCCTCAGCCCCTATGATGGGTGTTTAATCTGCTCCTGGCTGAACATTTTCCCGTCGCTCTTCCTGCCAACCCCGAGGCGCCCAGCCTCTGGGGCATGAGGTGGGCCTGTCCATGCAGCAGAGGAGGGAGGGGAGCCCTCGGTGTGCGGGCTCCTGGCCGCTCTGCAGAAGGCCCTAGATTGCCTCTTTCCCTTTCTTTCTTCTCTCCTAAATCTGGGGTCAGGGAGAAGTGTAAAAGCCTAGGTAGTTCCCCTCCCTAGCCTTCAGGATTCATTTTCAAATACTTTTCTAGAGGAGAGAAGCTCAGCATATAGGAAGAATTTGGTTCTCAGGGTCATGGAGGTCCCTAAGCCCTTAGTCTTTCTGTCCCAGAGCGCCATAGGTGTTTGGCCCTCTATGCTTGGTCCTGCTCTCTCCTGTTTTCACAGCTGGGGTCACTGGCCCTTCTCTTGCCCCTGACTCGCCCAGCTTCCCCCTCCTGGAGTCTGCTGGGCAGGGAGCTGCTCTGCGGTCTGCAGCTCCAGTGCCAGCCCCCAGGCATGGGTGGAAGGTGGGGCCCCGAGGGCCACCCTGGCCTGCAACCCAAGCCCAGCTAATGATGCCACATTGGCGCACCAGCATTTCTGCTGTTCCTCGTGCAGCTGGGAGAGAAGGAGGCTCCTGGTGCTGAGAAATGCGGGGCTGCCGCTGAGCAGAGCTGGTGGGCGGAGGAGCATTTCTGCGCCTCTGGGAAGCCCTCTTTCCCTG